AGTTGTCATCAGACATCGTTCAGTTCAGTGGCGGGCACCATTATAAAGTACACTTTTTCTGTACCTGCACCTTTATGTACTAATCCTCTTATGCGGTGGCTTTGAATCTCAATCATAAACTCTGCACTGTCTGGGATAAAGCATTAGGAGAAATAGGCCTGGATAGTCATTCCTCTAAGGTTTAGCAGAAATCAAGCTTTATTTATTTATGTGTTTTTCATGTTCTGTGGCTGAAGGATACAGAGTATCATTGCATCTGACTGTCACAACCGTGTGACGTTTCTTCTAAAACCAGTGGAGCAGGATTGGTTTTGTGCAGTCACACAAGTAAGGAATCTGAGAGTCACAGTGAACCACTAAATAAAGCCTAAATAAGACTATATACAAAATACTAATAAGAAGCTGGTATTTTTTTCTCTCCATCTTTTATTGTCTTGCTCTCTCTTTGTCTCTATCTCTCTTTCCTTGTGTTTATAGAAGGATGGGAGCTCTCTAGATATTACATGGTCAGTTTTACCCGTGACCCCTTAATTTCACTAAAGCATCTCTCATTATTGGGAAAAATTAGGTTCAGAAGAGCATTTACTATTGTTCTTTGGTTTACTTAATGGAAGATGAAATAGTTAACTTGTGTGGCATTTATATGATTTTTTTTATAGTTCCTAAACTGAATATTATATAATGGTATGACCTTTTCTTTTTATCAGAAAGCTGAACAGTTCTGGCCTGCAAAGTGTCCAGGACATAGATGATCAAAGTCCCCTTCTCTCTGTCTTGATCAGACTCTCACCAGGTTCATTCTAAGCCACATTTATCAGAGGCCAGTGACAAGGCCTAGGATAAAGTCATACTGAGAAAACATGTCTTATGAGCTGAAGGAGCGGGGGAACTGTAGCCTGGAAAAAAAAAAGACTAAAGTGAGACTTCATTTGTTGTCTTGAGATATTTAAAGTGGTGCCCTGTTGCAAAGGGGCAGAACTTGGCCTGATGCCTAGGAGTTCAGGGCAGGGAGACCTGAGTAACTATTCCATCAGAATTGCTAAAGTCATGAGACTTCTGTCACTTGAATTATTCAAGCAAAGGCTGAATGCTCACTTGTGGGAATGTTGTAGGTGAGATTAAGCTGAGTTATCCTGTGTGCCTGCATCTCAGGTGAGGTTTTCCCCAGAATAACACTTGGAGAGTCTTTAAATACTTTAGTTGATGCTACTTTTAATGCATTAATATTCAAATAATAGAATCAGTAAAAGATGAAGCGGGCTTCCCTTGTGGCGCAGTGGTTGAGAATCTGCTTGCTAATGCAGGGGACACGGGTTCGAGCCCTGGTCTGGGAGGATCCCACATGCCGCGGAGCGACTAGGCCTGTGAGCCACAACTACTGAGGCTGTGCGTCTGGAGCCTGTGCTCCTCAACAAGAGAGGCCACGATAGTGAGAGGCCTACGCACCATGATGAAGAGTGGCCCCTGCTTGCTGCAACTAGAGAAAGCCCTCGCACAGAAACGAAGACCCAACACAGCAAAAATAAATTACTAAACTCCTACCCCCAATATCTTAAAAAAAAAAAAAAAATGAAGCAAAAGAATTTCTGAAAAATTTAGTAATGGTTTCTTGGTATTTGACCTTGCAGTTCAAAATATTGAGGCTGTTATAAATAAATAATTTAAAAATAATATAATACAACAGTACAGTAAGAGTTTGCTCTCTGGCAGTGGTTCTTATCTGGGAACGATTTTGCCTCCTGGGAGATATTTTGAAATTTTTGAAGCCATTTTTGACTGTCATGACTGATAGGGGTTGTGCGTGCTACTGCCACCTAGTGGATAGAGGCCAAGAATGCTGCTAAACATCCTGCTGCTCACAGGACAAGTCCCCACAACAAAGAATTATCCAGCCCAAATGTCAGTTGTGCTATAGCCGAGAAGCTTTGTTTTAAGGAAATCAGGAATATAACTACAAGGCTAATAAAAATCATCTCAGTGACATCATGTGGAGTCACAAAATCCTATATTTTAACAACTATTATGGGAGTAAAGATGATGTGTTTTGATGAGCCATGTTTTGTGTTATGTGGCTCATAAAATGTCTTTGGTGACAGCAGACATACTATTGTCAGCAGTGTATGTGAACAGTTCCAAGAAAGCTGTTTCATAAAATGTGTGAATGAAGAAAGCAATATTTCTTTTTTTTTTTTTAATTTATTTATTTTAGGCTGTGTTGGGTCTTTGTTGATGTGCACGGGCTTTTCTCTAGTTGTGCCGAGCGGGGGCTACTCTTCGTTGTGGTGTGTGGGCTTCTCCTTGCGGTGGCTTCTCTAGTTGCGCGGGCTTCAGTAGTTGGGGCTCGCGGGCTCTAGAGTGCAGGCTCAGTAGTTATGGCTCACGGGCTTAGCTGCTCAGCGGCATGTGGGATCTTCCCGGACCAGAGCTCAAACCCATGTCCCCTGCATTGGCAGGCAGATTCTTAACCACTGAGCCACCAGGGAATCCCCAAAATCAGTATTTCTAAATCAATATGTTATTGTATATAATATGTGATTTTAAATATTTATATTTAAATATTTATATTAATTAATTATATATATAATATTTTATATAAATATAACACTAAATTTTATAGTAATTTGGCAATGTAATTTGCTCTAATAGTTGATATACTGAAGAGGGCCTGAAACAATTTTTTGTTATTCTCATTGGGAAAAATGGCTGCATGCCTTGTATTCAGGTGAGCTTTGTATTTGGATGTGAACAGAAAATCGAATTCCAGGTCCTCCTAAGCTCTGCGTGTCTGTGTTTGGTCACGGCATACATTTTTTTCATGATATGAAATTCCTTCCTCTTATGAATCTGTAAATAACTTCCAAAGGTAATCAAATCTTTCCTACTTTTATTTGCTTTAAAAAATTACACACTGTAAAATTCAGCACATTCTATGAGTTTTGACAAATGCATACAATTGTGTAACTACTGCCACAATCAAGATGCAAACCAGTCTATCATCCTCCAAGTCTGTCATCCTCCTGCTTTCCCTTTGTTATCAACCCCTTTTCTCCATGTTCCTGGTTTTAAAATTTACTTTTACACAACTTACAAGTAGAGTGCTTAGTTTCAAAATAAACTCTTCTGCAGAGACCCAGCATCTAAATCAGACCCACGCAGATCTTCTCTGGGCAAAGTGGGTTGTGGGGTCCTAAGTTCACCTACTCTGCCTCCCTCTGGCCCCAGCAAGGGCCTTGGGGACTTTTTGGGGAAACTGGTGCTCTGTAGAACAGCCAGCTCCACTGATTAAATTCTTCAATTTATCAAATGTTAGGTCAGCCCTTACAGTGTGCCAGGCTGTTAGCTGGGGATGGAGAGAAGGATGAATCAGATAGATATGGTTCCTCCCTTTAGCAAGCTTAGATTCTAGTAGACTGACATCAGTCAAGTGTCAGTGAAACTGAGGAAAAAATGATGTCTTCTCTGATGGAATTATCCCTGCTCCTGAGCAGAGGAAGCTTCATGGGAACCCTTAGGGGGAAGGTGCAACCACAAGAAAGCTGGTGTGGCCAGACAGGCAAGGAGTTCCTGGAGAAGTCATCAGGGATTAGACTGAGTAAAGATTTGTTGAAGGAAAGAAGAAGAAAAGAAAGAAAGGAAGAAAAAAGGAAAGAAAGAAAGGAAGGAAAGAAAAAAGAAGGAAGGAAGGATATTGAAAGAAAGAATATTGAAAAAATTGAACTTCATCTCAAGATTTGGGGTGAAGGGTGTTATATAGGACAGTGACACGTTCAGAGCTCTCTTCCAATTACACTGGTTACAATTAATAGAACGGATTAGAGTGTGGGATGGGCAAATATGGATGTAGATGGAGTAGTGAAAAAACTGTTTCAGCAGTAATGGGCAGGAGATGATAGTTGGCACATGGAGGTGATGGTGAAAATTTGACTGTGAAATTAAAAAATATGTATAATATGAAACAATGCAACACACACACAAATTCTGACCTTTAAATACAGATTCAGCTTTGAGCCAGATGCCCATTTAACCTTTGGGAAATTGACGTTTGACGCTAAGTACAGGACTTGGCATTTGACTGTCTTATAGTTTTGAACACAGGTATCAGCATCAAAGAATCTTCTTTAAATGCTTTGCTTCAGTTGAGAATTTGGTGAGCATGCTTCGTTGCCAATACTCAAATCAACGATGAAAATATTGAGCAGGCCAGGCCTCACGTCAAAGTCTTGAAGAGTTCTCCTGGAGGCTTTTCTTGGCCCTGAAACTGATCATTCATCAATACTTTCATCCGACCTGAGAGATAGAAGGAGAAGGGGAAGAGAGAAAGACAAGAGGAGACAGAGAATGACTAAGAACAAGCTGCACTTCTGAGAATATGACACAAAGCAAATGTTTTTTCTGGGGATTGGTGTCTTGGAAAAAACATGGAGTTATAATAAAGCCACTTTTTAGTAAATATTTGCTATTATTATTGTTATACCTATTTTCAGCATTTCTCATAGACTAAACCTGGAGCTACGTATAAGACTCTTGCTGTTTCGTGCTGGAAAATTCGCCTCCCCTGCGGATGAGATTAAAGAGCTAAATCCCTGGCTACTCAGGCAGCTTGTGAGCCTGCAGTCAGGGAAGTGCCTAGTTCCCTGGCACCTTGACTGCAAGAGATTTGGAAGAAGGGTCAACAACAGCACAAAAGGATCTGGGAGCTCGGGTCGCATCTTCAGCAGCAACACAGAGGAGGGTGACATAGGGTCAGAGTTAGGGATCATGAGGGTGAGTTTACAGCAGGTCTGCCTCCTCTGAGCTGGGTAAGCGGGAGGTGGTGATAAAGGGAGACAAAGCACCACAGCCAAATAAGAGGAGGTGAAGGATGTCTCCACTCATTTTAATGTTTGGTCCACATGGCATCAAACACGGGGGCTTTGGGGACCGTCCAAAGGATGAGTCGACTTTTTCATACTCCATTGTCTTTCCATGCTCATGAAGAGTTCCAACTTTCTGTTTTCCAGATGTTTTACCTCTAGATGCATGACTGAATCATGTGGTTGCCCACTGACATCTGACGTCATATTGATTCAAGGTAAGGCTACTCTGGAGTATAAGGTTGGTTGTTCTTCTGAAGCCATGAGCAGGGGCCTGGCTGAGGACAGTTCTGTAACCCAGTGCCTAATCCAGAGCAGACCCTCAGTAAATTTTTATTGAATTTAAGAGAGAATAGATTCAAATTGCTTCTCAATAGAATTTTGTATCCATTTTCTTGACACCTGGTCATTATGCAAATAATTTTGTAATGAACTCTGCCATTTTTTGTGATAATAAGATTTCATAGTGGGAGGAGAACAAACTTAGAATTAGGCCCATTGATCAAATCTCCATCTGGGCATTTACTTATATTTTTGTGTTTTGAGACAATGATTTAAATGATCTGTCTTAGCTTCCTCATCTGTAAAATGGAGTTAATAGTATTTCCCACCTTACAGAATTATTGTGAGAAGTACATAAGACTTTTTCTACCCCACCTGAGTCAGGATGCTTTTGGCTGCAGGTTACAGACACTCAGTGAACATTGATCTGATTTATGAAGATGTTCCTTGTTATCTTACAAAGCAACTTATAGGTTGGCAGTTCCATGGTCTTTCGATAGTTCAACAATTTCAGTTGGGATGCAGACTCTATATATCTTTGTGATCTGCCATCTTGCATTGCCTCTTCATTTTTTTTTTTTTTTTGCTTTACGCGGGCCTCTCACTGCTGTGGCCTCTCCCGTTGCGGAGCACAGGCTCCGGATGCGCAGGCTCAGTGGCCATGGCTCACGGGCCCAGCCGCTCCGCGGCATGTGGGATCTTCCTGGACCGGGACACAAACCCGTGTCCCCTGCATTGGCAGGCGGTCTCTCAACCACTGCGCCACCAGGGAAGCCCCGCATTGCCTCTTCTTCAGTTTATACTTTATGGCCACAAGATGGGTGCTCCAACTCCAGGGCACCATGTGCTCACAGCATTGCCCCAAGAACAGTGGCATCAAAAAGCTTTCTTCTCAGAGATCTGTCTTTTTATCCTACAAGTGATGCCTCCCATGATGGACTTCCCCTTATGAATCATTGGCCAGAACTACGCCCACCCCAAGACCAATCTCTGGCAAAGAGAGATGGATTTTCCACTGACTTAGAATGATCATGATTCACACCCTGGGTGGTGGGTGGAGGTGCTTGCTTTCTTCTCTGTGATCCAGGTGTCTCTGCCCCCGAGCAGGAGGATGGAGAGGACTGTCTGCTGGGTTGACCACGAGCGACGTCCACCATGCCTCCTACACACGCACCCTTCCCTGCCTGCCATCTCCCCACATGCCTCATCTACAACCTGTGCCTCTGATCTTTGTTTTCTTCCAGAGTTCAGAATCCCCAGTACACTGGTAGTTCCTTCTTAAGAAGGAACCCCCTACAACATGTTTTCTTTGCATCTTCTGTCTTCCCCAATACAGCATGAAGTCTTGAAGAATAAAGACTGTATCATATTCCTTTTTGTCTCTAGCGTCCAGCACAAATCCGGTTTGATGGTTTCTGTTCACAATAGGTGTGTTAAATGAAATAAGTTTCTGAAACCTGAAATTTAATGAGAGAACCATGCAGATTGGGGTAGGAATTCAATAAAAAACCTGTGTTCAATAAAAAACACAGGTTCAATAAAGAACCTGTGATTACAGAGTAGAAGAGTGATTGACCAAAATGCCTGATAGGTGAAAAATCAGATATTACTACCTAACTTGCTGTTGATTTGCAAAGTAATCTCCTGTGTATCTAGAGGCAGCATCTTCCAGGGAAGGGAGGAAGAGCTTATAAATGGTGTGAATCAGCTGGGCCTAGCACAAACATAGCTGCGTGCAAGTGTGTGAATGTGTACTGAGTCAAATGGGACTCTTCAATGGTCTGTAACTTTCAACTCCAGCCTTGTTTACTGGCCTTTTGTCCACCTTTGCCTTGGGCCCTTACCTTTTTTGTGTATTACCCTTCTCTCCCACCCAACGTACCCACAGACAAGGTTAGTGTCACACTCATGTCTGTATTCCCTGTAATACGAGTGCTGGGCCATTGCACAGGAGAGCTCAGTAAATACTTGTGGCACTGAATTGGATTTCCTCAGGAGAGGAGGAAAACACAAGTGGCCTCCAGCCGACACTAAGGCTTACCTGCATGCGGAATCTTTAGCTAGCTTTTGGAGAGGTCATCTAGCATTGCCTGAAACTTCAATTCTTATTATGTGGTTCTTCTTCTTTTTGTTTTGTTCTGTCTTTTCTACCCTCTACACCATTGATTCCTTAAGCACCCCGGCATGTATGGGGCCATAGGCAATAATTATTTCCCAGGATTGGGGAATCCTTTGAAAAGGTTTTTTTCTTTTTTCTCATAGAATGCAGTAGTTAAGGCTGACACTCTCATTAAGCCTGTTTCCTCACTCTCTGAATTGCTATATGCTACATACTCCTGAGGATGAACTGTCAAAGCCACATTCAAACCCCATTCAAAACCACACACTGTACATTCAGTCCAATTCATTAGCTTCCCTCCAACTTGGGACTCTTATGTGCCTGCACATAGGTAATTAACACCAATTTTCCCAAGAATGAGGAAGGTTGGAATCATGGGATGACATATTTATTTGATTTATAATGTGACTATCTTATAAATTGCATAAATCTTTGGTATTTGTGGATGGAATATCTCAAGGTTGACATTATTCTAGGTGTACAGGAAGTAGATGTCTAACTAATGGACCTCACAGAGATCAAGATAGAGGTGAGAAGAGTAGGCAAGTGGGAAGAGGTCAAACATGGGACATCAAGCTTTTTATCCACTCCCTCTACCATCCCCCTTAGATTTTTCCATGTGCCAAGGATGGATAAGTCTGAGGGCATCACGAAGGCAAGAGCCCATGGAATGCATGGTTCGTATGACATGATGAGATTGAAAACAATTGGATGGAAATGCAAGAAATGATTATTAAACCTTCTATTACTTGGAGCCTAGTGATATTTATACGTTTCTAAAATCCAGTGAAGATCATTAATTCTGATAATAATTCTAATATTAATCTCACATTCATTGTTATAGCTTTCTGAATATGTCTGGTGCTGAGAGGATGGATTGGTGCATTGGGTATATTTGCTTGAGATGGACAAAATGTGAACCACGTGGAAGAGAATGCTGTTGTGAAATACACATCTGGATTCTGAAAACCTGACTCTTTCCCTAATGAACTGACCTTGGCCAATGTATTTAGTCTCTGAGACTCAGCTTCTTTCATGTGATAATCTAAGGAATTACCACCTATATCTTACTCAGAATTCGTGTGAGGGTCAAATGAGGTCACACATGTAAACAACATGAAACAGTGCCTGGTATCTGGTAGAAGCTCAATGCATGTTAATTCTCTTCATTGTATGTAGTAAGCTTTTAAAGTGCTAACACAGTGTAATAGGATGTTTTAATGGGACTCTTTCTGTCTTTATTTTGGCTGATACCCAAGACATTAGGTGCCAAACCCCCCCATATAACAAAGCAAGATGCTCTATTGTTGAAGAAGGACTTGCAAGGGAAATTAAAGTCCATAAGCCCCTTATCCATGTTGGGGGATGTTGCCGAGATAGGAATGCTCACCAATATGTCCTGTGCTTTCCTTCATTTCCTGGCCCCCTTGCAGGTAGGTGGGGCCACAGGACTGTTCTGGTCAATAGGCTGTGAAGGGATGGGACACTTGTCACTTTTAGGCCCAATCGTAGAAGAGTGGGTGTGGCTTCTACATGCACTCTCTTCCTTAGTCTTGGTGTTGTGGCTAAGGCACAAAACTGAAATTGCCTGGAATCCTGGGTCACCTGATGAGCAACAGCTCTCACAAGACATCCTGATTCTTAGCAGGCTTCTCCTGAGAGTGGAATAAAGTTTTGCTAAGCTACTGACATTTGGGGGTTAATTTGTTATTGCAGCCTAATCTGTCTATGTAAGGAGAAGCTGGAAAGTCAAGAGAAGACTTCTTTGAGGAAGTTGTCAAAGTGTTGTAGTGTGTTCTTTCCCTTGTCCTGATGGGAAAGGGGAGGTGGGTACTTCCCTTTCACTTCTACCTAGTGAGAGGGACTTCAGAAGGAACTTGCAGAGAGCTGGACCTTTTCATCTGGGGACCATGAGGAGGCACAGAGACTGTAGGATCCAGAGTTGGGAGTCTGAAGGTGAGATCCTGTGGCCAGTGGGAGAGCTGGTTGCTTTGGGAGCAGGCTATGCTTCCAGAGTTTGTGAGACAAGGATGAATGAGATGAATTAAGAGCCAAGTGGAAGAGAGCTGGCCTAGAGGGACTTTGCTCAAGCTGACTACTTGTAGGGGCATTAGGATCTAACAGAGTCAGGCTGTGTCTGGGAAGGCTGCAGGGGCAGGGCTGAGGAGGGAACCCCTGGCAGCCAGTTGGAGGAGAGGACACCAACCATCGGGCTCTGAAATACCCGTGCAAAAGGGCCCCTAGAGGAAGAATCAGCCTTAACCCTCTGCCGCAGCTGGAGGTCATCCTTTCCTGTCCACGAATTCTCCTCCGTTCTGTCCCTGGAGGAAGCAGAGATGTCTTTTTGAGTTGAGGAAAGGGCCAGATGCTCTAGGTGGGGAAATGGAGAATGTGGCCTTGACCGCCTCCTGGATGAAGAAGAAGCTTTGCTATTAAGTACCGATGAGAGTTTGACTCTTGCTTGAGACTGAATAGTTATATTATGAAAAAAGATTGGGAGTCTAAAAGTAGAGAGTTTTTAAATATATAAGAATGACAGACAAAAGAGATAAAACATTTTTAATAAAAAAAAAAAATAAAAAAAAAAAAAGAATTAGTCCCACGGAGCAGATTTGAAAGAGCAGAGTGGAGAAAAATGTGTGGTTTAAAAAAAATTTTTGTTTTGCTGCACTTCCTCTTTCAAAGATATGGTTTCACAAGCATCACATATGATACTATTGATTACATTAAAAGCAAAACACCCAAAACAGAGCAGTAATCTGAAATATGTAATAGGAGAGAGGTCTTTTCTTGAGCAATGTCACAGAATATGACAGTGAATAAGGTATCATTCTTCTAATTATAGAACATAATCTCCTAATATGGGATAGGCTACCAAGAGCCAAAGGTTCATGAGCCTTCTGTATAGTGTCTTAAATACTTAAAATAGTGTCTTTTAAAAAAAATCAATTAATTGTAATGCAAAATTGCTTGATAGTTAGAGCTCAGAGAAAAATTTAACAGTGATTTTCCTAAATGCCCTTTTTTCTCTGCAGCGATGAAAACAGCCAAACTAGAGATTATACTCTACAAACATGTTCCATGAAGAAATAGGTACTACAATTCTTGCCTTTTTAAAATGGTGTGTTTTATCCTCCTCTAAAATGTTTTCCATTATCTACTGTTCCCCTGTAAGAGCAGCAAAGAGTGTGGTGATAAGCTCAGTAATTATGGACACTGTAGGTTCTGGAAGATTTTCTTAGCTGGAGTCAATGGGCAGCATTATTATCTGAGGCCATCACACTGGGTTAAGTGTCCTTCAGGATGAATCTTCAGAGGATCTCAGTGTGCCTTCCATGTCATCAGTAGAGCTTAGTGGGGGTAGTGTTGGATAATGGGTAAATGAAGGGCTTTGAAGATGGCAACCCCCCGACCAACCCAAACTCTTCTCCCTGATGACTGTGTAATTTTGGGCAAGTCACTTCACTTACTTAAGGCTCAAGTTTCTTCTTCAATAATATGGTTATTACCTACCGAGGGTTACCCTGAAGGTTAAATGTAATAACACATGTAAAGCGCTAATACAGTGCCAGGAAAAGAGAGTGAAAAAGACTAATAAAATAAAGAGAATTATTTCAGCCTGATTATACAATGACATTAACTAGAATGATAAAAGAATGGATGATGCTAAAAGGATAAACCCATAATGATGAAATGAAAATTGGATAACTGTGAAAGGAGACAATGATAAACAGTGTAAAATTTATATAATTATAACAAAATGTGCATACGTCACAGTCCAAAGATACACAGTTTTCCTCTTTCAAATTATTTTATAACTATGAGAGACCTGAAACTTCCTTTTAAAATTCAGGAAATAATTAATTATTTAACCTATTTAGGACTATTCCTTCTACATTGATGTACGGAAAGCGCTTCATACATTAGAAGAATCAACACAGTTTTCTTCTGTCTTGTTTTGTGGTTGTAGTCTGCTTGGCTCACATCAGAGGATTCTCAAAGGCTTTGCTGATAGTCCCTTCCAAACGTGTTATTGTATCTCAAGCTGTAGATGAATTACCTTGAAAAGGTGAGTGCATGCTTCTCTGAACTGAACTCATTGCTCCCTAGGGCCTTCTGTTTCTAGAAACATAGATACATTTTTAATCTCTCTCACTTGCATACAAAGATGGCAGGGGATTGCTCCTTGCCAATGGACTGGGTGTTTTAACCCAATGGAAAGATTGCAAATTCCTAGGAATAGCCAAACTGCTGCTTTTCCCTCCTGAGCCCAAGGATCTTTGGTTCACATCTGTGGCCGTTACTTGCAGAATTGGACACTGTCTGCTGCTTTGAACTTGCTGCCAGTTGGCCCGAGGCTCAGAGCTCTGAGCATCCCCAGAGGCAGTGGTATGTGTGGGGAGGGACTGGGCCCTTTGGTTTTTCCCAGGCATCTGCTGGAGGAGATTCAAGGTGGAAGGAAAGAGTGGAAACAGAAACTCTCAGTAACACAGCATACTCATCTCCATTTATGCCCAAGTAATGTGCATCTAGGTGCTCTCTGGCTTACAGATCATTTAGACCCTTACTTTTTTTTGCCCTTCCCTAAACGGGGTGCCATCTGACCCTCCCCTATGGGTGTTGTTTCTCAGACAGTGACAGTGACAGATAATAAACATAAACCATCCATTTCCTCCTGCCAGCAGCTCTCTAATGCTCAGAAAGGCATATGTGTGGCCATAATATATGGTGGCACCCTCTCTTCTCTCATTTATCTGCTTCAGCCCTTATTCTACTGCCCTATGTTTACCTTCGTTATTAGTAACCTCGCAGAGGTCACAAACAGGACTCATCTCTTTTTCTTTTGTTTTCCTCCCATTATAAAAAGAACACGGCAATTTTTGACTATTTGGAAAATTTGAAAACAAGTAATTAAAACACTATTCTGAACCCCACAATTGAGAGATACTAGGTATTTATGTTGTGTTGTATTTCCTTCTTAGTTTGACCTCGTGCATGTATACAATTGAAATCACACTACATATTGTTTTATGTCTTGTTTTATTTCACTTAACATTATATTATGAGCATTTCCTTAGACCAATAAGCATATTTCTCATAACTTGAGTGGCCAATACTATTCCACTGTACAGGTATTTCTGATTTATTTAACCTTTCCCTTAATTTTTCACTGTCATAGACAATGCCACAGTGAGCATCTTTCCCATACTGTTCCCACAGAGGATGGGATACACAGCGCTAAACACTTTCCAGAGAACTTGTATGCATTTACAGTCCCTTCAGCCGTGTCTCAGAGTTCCATTTCCACCGAACTCCCTCCATTGCCATGAAGTATCATATTTTACTGTCTATTTTAGAAAAAGGAAATGACACTCCACTGTTATTTCCATATACGTTTCTTGGGTAATGAATATAATCTGTACGGCCTGCTTTACTTATTTGGGGTACAAATGTGATTATATTGCTCTAATTACCCCCAAAGGATGATTTCAGCACTTATAGCCAATATGAGCAGGGAGTTCAATACGCCCTCTTGAGGCCTCCCAGCAACATCCCCATCCCTGCCTCATCTGAGAATCCACAGGGAAGAATTCGTCTGACTTCTGAATGCCTGGGAATAAGATAACTGGAGAATCTGATCAGTACCTTCTGTCAGAGGCTGCAGAGGGGGTGGCTGTTGAAGGCTTGCCCTGAGCAATTCAGGTCCTTGTCCACATGCCCCACACATACTCACTCACTGTGTTCAAGCTCAGCCATGGTGTCAGGTTGGCTGGCTTGGAGGTGAGAGTCATGCTTATAACACTGTCCCATGCTACCCCAGATCTAGCCTGTGAGTTTTAGGGACCCTATAATGCCTGGGCCATTAGATGCCTCCCACCTTTTGGTGCCCTGAACATCCTTTCTCTCTGCAGACTTTAAGGGCCAGGAACACCTGGTCCAGCCAAGGTGCTAGTTTAGAACCTGTGAGCTGGGGAGTGGGGGCCAAGACTGTGATCTCAGAAGGCTCTTGGGCTGTTCATGAAACGGATCCATTCCTTCCAAGATATCTATCTACCAGGTGGAGGGAACTTCTCCTAAAAGCTGGGTGTGAGAGTATCCTCTGTGGGTTTACTGCCTGACTTTGAATCCTGGCTTTACCATTTCTGAGCTGGGTAGTCTTGAGCAATTTGCTTAATTTCTTTAAGACTCAAATTCCTCATCAGTGAAAGAGGGTTTATTTAAGCACCTTCCTCTTAAGATCCCTGTGAGGATTAAATGAGATAATCCATGTGAAGTGTATAATGTCCCTGGCACAAAGACACATAACATAAGTTAGTCACAAAATTATTATGCTATATAAAACTCAAAAGGTCCTATTGCACCCACATGAAAGTTTTGCTACCAGGGGACTTCTTCTCCATTATGTGGAGAAACTGCTGGAAACTTATTTCTTGTTTAAAAAATCTGTCTTAAATTCATTGATTAGTAAAGTTAAACATCAACCCCCCACCAGCCCCAGCGTTGCTATATTTATTTGCTCTTTGGTGAATTGTCAGTCAAAGCCTTTCCTGTTTTCTGCTTTCTTTTTATTTTTTAGTTAAACTTTTTATTTTGAGATAACTGTCTATGCAGTAATAAGAAATAAGGCAGAGAGATTCCATGTAACCCTTGTTTCAGTTTCTTGAACATCTGTGCGTGTGTGTGTGTATTTATTTATTTTTCATGCTTGTTTCTTTCTGTTTTTCAGATTATATCATTTCTATCGTTCTATCTTCAATGTCACTAATTCTTTCTTCTGTCCTCTACATTCTGATTTGAGTGCACTCACTGGTTCTTATTTAGGTTTTCTATTTTCTTATTCTAAAATTTCCATTTGGTTCTTCTTTATATCTTCTGTTGAGTCCATTCACTGATTCTTATTTAGGTTTTCTATTTTCTTATTCTAAAATTTCCGTTTGGTTCTTCTTTATATCTTCTGTTTCTTTGCTGAGATTTTCTGTTTCTTTGCTAAGCCTTTCTATGTTTTCATTTGCTTCAAATGTGTTCTAAATTGTTCATTGAAGCATTATATGATGGCTGATTTAAAACCCTTGTCAGATAATTCTAACATCTCTGTGTGGGTATCTATTTTTTCGCCATTCTAGCTGAGGTTTTCTTAGTTCTTTGTGTGATGAGTGCTTTTTGATCAAAGCCATTTGCGTCATTATGTTATGGACTCTGGGTCTTAGTTAGACCTTCTTTTTTAGCTGACATTTGTAGCATCACTCCATCCGAGGAAGGAAGCCCACCCTCATTACTGCCAGGGAGGGGTGGGAATATCAAGTCCCCTATACATTCTGTTGACCTCCAAGGGTGGTGAAGTTCCTCCTTACTGCTGGGTGAGGGTAAGAGATTGGTTCACCATGAGGTCTTTATCCCACCCTTGCCTGCGAGGGCAGAGATACCTTGTCACTGATCCTACATAGCCTCCATGGTCGGGGGCAGTGTGGCCTCATTCGCACTGGGTGGCGGTGAAAGCCTTGACTCAATGCCAGGCGTCTTCTGAACCCCAGCATGGTGCCTTGTTACTGCTGGTAGGTTCCTTACTTGGTGCTGTTATATTGCAGCCTTCCCACATGGTCTCCATAACATGGGGGTAAGGGACCACATTACTGCCTGTTACATGCCTGTTACTGCAGGCAACTGTACTGCTTGTCCTGCTCCCTACTCTGCCTTTTCTGCCATCACCCTGGTGGAAGAGTTCAGAGACCTTCTTACAGACCAATGAAGATGGTCTGTAAGCTCCCCACCTTTGCTGGCATGGGTGGGGTGGGCCACAGTTTTATCTGTGATGTTTAGCTGGAGGAGAGCATTATGGTCTAAAAGTTATCTGTCTTGCTAGGCTGCTCCTTGCTAGGCTTTCCTTAGGGAGAGAAGACTTTTGCAGGATCTTGTTTTGGGTCTGCATCCATTGGCCTTTCCAGGTTGCCAGCTCCTGAAGCTCCAAGTCTGGGGTGTGTATATGGGACAAAAAGAAAACCCAGGGAGCCCACCACTGTGTCATTTCTCAGGTCCAAAGTTCCTAGCTGGTCTGCTTTCTTCCCTCCATCTTTCAGAGTCTTCTTGTTTGTCTTACCTATAAGTTCAGGGGTTTTAGCTATACTTAGTGGGAGGATTAGGGAAATGTATGTTCCCCAGAAGTGAAAGTTTCTCTCTGCCTCCTTTTCAAAAATAAAGTTTTATTGTTTTCCTTATAAGCTTGTCAGAAATCAAATATTAAGGATATCAACCTTCTGAATGTCAGAACTGTAAACAATATCTTTTCCTATATGTGGTTATTTGTATGCTTATTCAAGACCTGTGCTACATTCACTTAAAAACATCATATTGATGTTAGTGGTGATGGTGATGATGATGCATCAGAAAGTATTGGCTAAAATCAAGTGCTTAGATCTTTAGCCAAATTGAGTTCTGTAGGCGGTCTCCTGTTGCCATAGATAAGTTTGAATTAGCTCCAGGGGAGTGAAGTCTTGGTAGCAGATTCAAGGTCTGGCATGTCCCTGTCCTCCAGGAGGAATTGAGAATTTCAAGGGACTGATCAGGAGGCTGCTGGCAACAGGAGCGATTTGGCCTACAGCTGGGAGGAAGAAGTTCCTGTCAGCAATCCATGCTGGCTCTGCCTGTAGGAGCTTGATGACACCTTAATGCCTTTACAATCAGAGCGGCAGTGAACAGCTTGTTCCCTTGGCAAAATGCTGGAGATCTGCCCTTTATCACTCCAATGCTGCAAAGTTGAGACTCTTGGACTCAGTGACTTTGGGGACATTATTTATATGACACTTCCACGTACCTGCTGGGCTTTCTGGTCCCTCCAATCAGGGGAGACCCTCAGGAAAAATGTGACCCTTGGGATGATGGTTTTTGGTGATTCTAACTCCATTTTTGCCCTTCATTCATTTATTCATTCATTGAATCATCTATTCCATTGTTTATCTACTTATTAGAGAACTACCTTCTTTTCAGGAGGCATCAGGGAAACAAATGAAAAACATCCTTTTTGCTGACAGGATGATCATAAGTAGGGAAGACAATGACCATCACATTTACAGCCAGGATGGAAAGAAGTACAAGGTCTTCTCAGAGTGCAGAGCAGGCTAAGGATAGACTGTCAGAAAGGGCTTCTTGAAGGAGATGACACATGGGGTGAGTCTTGTTGGGGAAAAGGAATTAGCCAAGTGAAGAGGGAGCAGGTGTGCAAGGCTGACCACTGCAACAGAGAGATGTGGTTCTAGGATGGTGGGACCACAGAGTGGGAAATGCCAGGTGTGTGAGAGGTGAGCCTGAGAGGCAGAGGGGGTTTGGTGCTGCAGGGCTTTATCGTCAGGCTACCGAGCCTGGATTTCAGCCTAAAGACAACGTATAACCATGAAGGGTTTTTATGCAGAATAGTAGCACAATATTCCAGAAAGCTCATTCTGACTATCATGTGGAAGA